GTAGTGCAGATTCAAGTTTGTTCAAATCATGACCCCCGGGGGTAGGGTGGGGCCACAATGGGGGATCAAAGTTTTACATAGAAATATATAGGAAGATATCTTTAAAAATCTTCTTCTTTAGAACAGCAAAGCCATGATTGGTCATATTTATATGGAAGCATCCTCAGGTAGTGCAGATTCAAGTTTGTTCAAATCATGACCCCTGGGGGTAGGGTGGGGCCACAATGGAGGATCAAAGTTTTACATAGAAATATATAAGAAAATATTTAAAAAAATCTTCTTCTTAAGAATAGAAAAGCCATGATTGGTCATATTTATATGGAAGCATCCTCAGGTAGTGCAGATTCAAGTTTGTTCAAATCATGACCCCTGGGGGTAGGGTGGGGCCACAATGGGGGATCAAAGTTTTACATAGAAATATATAGGAAAATATCTTTAAAAATCTTCTTCTTAAGAACAGCAAAGCCATGATTGGTCATATTTATATGGAGGCATCCTCAGGTAGTTTAGGTTCAAGTTTGTTCAAATCATGACCCCCAGGGGTAGGAAGGGGCCACAATAGGGGATCAAAATTTTACATAGAAATATATAGGAAAATATTTTAAAAAATCTTCTTCTTAAGAACAGCAAAGCCATGATTGGTCATATTTATATGGAAGGATCCTCAGGTAGTGCAGATTCAAGTTTGTTTAAATCATGACCCCCGGGGTACGGTGGGGCCACAATGGGGGATCAAATTTTTACATAGAAATATATAGGAAAATAATTTTTAAAAATCTTCTTCTTAAGAACAGCAAAGCCATGATTGGTCATATTTATATGGAAGCATCCTCAGGTAGTGCAGATTCAAGTTTGTTCAAATCATGACCCCCGGGGGTAGGGTGGGGCCACAATGGGGGATCAAAGTTTTACATAGAAATATATAGGAAAATATCTTTAAAAATCTTCTTCTTAAGAACAGCAAAGCCATGATTGGTCATAATTATATGGAAGCATCCTCAGGTAGTGCAGATTCAAGTTTGTTCAAATCATGACCCCCGGGGGTAGGGTGGGGCCACAATGGGGGATCAAAGTTTTACATAGAAATATATAGGAAAATATTTTAAAAAATCTTCTTCTTAAGAACAGCAAAGCCATGATTGGTCATATTTATATGGAAGCATCCTCAGGTAGTGCAGATTCAAGTTTGTTCAAATCATGACCCCCGGGGGTAGGGTGGGGCCACAATGGGGGATCAAAGTTTTACATAGAAATATATAGGAAAATATCTTTAAAAATCTTCTTCTTTAGAACAGCAAAGCCATAATTGGTCATATTTATATGGAAGCATCCTCAGGTAGTGCAGATTCAAGTTTGTTCAAATCATGACCCCTGGGGGTAGGGTGGGGCCACAATGGAGGATCAAAGTTTTACATAGAAATATATAAGAAAATATTTAAAAAAATCTTCTTCTTAAGAATAGAAAAGCCATGATTGGTCATATTTATATGGAAGCATCCTCAGGTAGTGCAGATTCAAGTTTGTTCAAATCATGACCCCTGGGGGTAGGGTGGGGCCACAATGGGGGATCAAAGTTTTACATAGAAATATATAGGAAAATATCTTTAAAAATCTTCTTCTTAAGAACAGCAAAGCCATGATTGGTCATATTTATATGGAGGCATCCTCAGGTAGTTTAGGTTCAAGTTTGTTCAAATCATGACCCCCAGGGGTAGGAAGGGGCCACAATAGGGGATCAAAATTTTACATAGAAATATATAGGAAAATATTTTAAAAAATCTTCTTCTTAAGAACAGCAAAGCCATGATTGGTCATATTTATATGGAAGGATCCTCAGGTAGTGCAGATTCAAGTTTGTTTAAATCATGACCCCCGGGGTACGGTGGGGCCACAATGGGGGATCAAATTTTTACATAGAAATATATAGGAAAATAATATTTAAAAATCTTCTTCTTAAGAACAGCAAAGCCATGATTGGTCATATTTATATGGAAGCATCCTCAGGTAGTGCAGATTCAAGTTTGTTTAAATCATGACCCCGGGGGGTATGGTGGGGCCACAATGGGGGATCAAAGTTTTACATAGAAATATATAGGAAAATATCTTTAAAAATCTTCTTTTTTAGAACAGCAAAGCCATGATTGGTCATATTTATATGGAAGCATCCTCAGGTAGTGCAGATTCAAGTTTGTTCAAATCATGACCCCTGGGGGTAGGGTGGGGCCACAATGGGGGATCAAATTTTTACATAGAAATATATAGGAAAATATTTTAAAAAAATCTTCTTCTTAAGAACAGCAAAACCATGATTGGTCATATTTATATGGAAGCATCCTCAGGTAGTGCAGATTCAAGTTTGTTTAAATCATGACCCCTGGGGGTAGGGTGGGGCCACAATGGGGGATCAAAGTTTTACATAGAAATATACAGGAAAAAATCTTTCTCTCAAGAACAGAAAAGCCATGATTAGTAAAATTGATATGGAGGCATCCTTGGGTAGTGTAGAATGAAATTTGTTCAAATGAGAGACCCAGGGGGTAGGGTGGGGCCACAATGGGGGATCAAATTTTTACAAATGAATATATGGGAAAAAATCTTCTGCTCAGGAACAGCAATGCCATTTGTTATATTGATATGAAAGCATCATCAGGTAGTTTAAAATTCAAATCCCTCCCCCCCCCCCCCCATTAACTTTTCAATTCTAAACTGATTTTTGTTTTTTTTCCCCCTAGCCAATGTGCTCAGGTGAGCGATGTGGCCCATGGGCCTCTTGTTGTGTTAGTGTGATGGCCTGTTGTATAATACTGCACAAGCGTGACGGTGTGTTTTGTGTTAGCGCGATGGCTGGATGTGAAAAATTGTGTGAGCGTGACAGTGTGTGTTAACGCGACGGCTTGTTGAATGGAGTTCATTTGCATGATGGCGTATTTTGTGTTAGTGTGACGGCGTGTTCTGTAAAGTTGCGATATTGTGCTTAACGTGCCTTCGCTTTGCTTCCACCCTGTTAGGCCAGGCCTTTGCAAATGGCCTTATCAGAACAATATAACTTTAAAAAAAAGGTAACGGGATGTTTCGCGCCGATTCTGTTACGTATTATTATTGTATTTTAAGGTTTTCAAGTCCATATAAGACTACATTAAGAAAACAAACATGGACAGATTTAACAATAGAATTTATATGCATACTTTAAGTCTGAATGTAAGAATCGAATAAGTTTTGTTTTAAAATCTATCTCCTACATGTAATTCTTGCCACCTTTACAACTACAAGAGTATAGTAAGACACTTATACACAGAACATGTATACACTTACATACAGAACATGTATGTAACAAATACCTGATTAAAATGAGATCCTAATCTATGACAGATCTAACATTTCAATTAATCTGTGTGCTTTGAGTCTAGAGTATTTTATAAGGCTTAATCCATTAACGGCTTGTTGGATGGTGCCTTCTCAGATTAGATGGTACAGTTTAAGTACAGTAAAACATTTTTATACAGAACATACATATAGCAAAATAATAAATGATTTAAATTGAATCATATTTTGTACTAAAAATTAATGATTCCTAAACTGACATAATTAACTACTAATATAATTAATAAAACATAAAACAAATTCACTGGACATTTGTAGTCAGTCTGTTAATGACAAATTATTCAGCATAAATCAAATGAATGCATGGAAGATATTGCATTTACCTTCATATTTGTAGATAGAAATTCTTTTCTACAAGTCTCTTATACTTTCCTAAATTATTGATGTTATTTTAATTCAATCTCTAACATTTAAAACAGTCATTAAATAAGTGTAATTCATGTCTCATTCATACTGTACTTGACGATAAAAATCACCAAAGCTTAGTCTATTTCTGATTTAATCCTGCCCTGTTGGTCCTAGATGATGGAATGTTATGTTTTTCTCTAATGAGGTACATATATGGTTATTTCTGATTTAATCCTGCCCTGGGGGTCCTCGATAATGGAATGTTATATTTTTCTCTGATGAGGTCTGTATACAGTCTATTTCTGTTTTAATCCTACCCTGGGGGTCCTCGATGATGGAATGTTATATTTTTCTCTGATGAGGTCCAGTTCCTGGGAGTGTTTGAGGTGTTCTTTGAGGTCCAGTTCCAGTCTCTGTTGAGACCTCATCAAAGTAGAGGTGGTCAGATGTGCAATGTCTGTTTGAACCAAAAAAAAATGCATTGAAATTCACTGAAATATCTTTTGAGCAGAAGGATTTATTTCTTTCCTATAATTTTTTTCATTATTAATGAAAAATACATGTAACAAACATTCTAATTATCACATCTATAACATTTTTATTAACAATTCATTTTCAGTGATTATACTGTGGACAACTTCAGATATGTATTTCTGTATAAAACAAACATAACCCAGCTTTTATAAATTCACAGACAGCCTGTTGTGAGCATCTCAACACTAAATGCCCAGTGGCCACAATGCTCACCTGAAACACCTTGTCTCTGTTGTCCTTCAGACCAATGTTTTAATATACCATTAAAGTATATCATTGAGAGAGTTAGCAAGATTTCAGTTCCCCAAGGCCAGGACTATTTCCCGAGACGAAGCCAAGGGAAATATTCCTGGTCGAGGGGAACTGGAATCTTGCTAACTCCCTCAATGATATACTTTTAACTGTTTTATTATACCGATACAAAGGTAAAATGTAGAGGATTCAAATAGCATGATTTCAAAGCAGGAATTAGTTTACTAAACTAACACATGGGGTTAGTCCATTGACATATCATAGTGATATTTAGTAAAATCTAGAGGATTACGGATAACTGGGAATTAGCTTTCGAAGCAGGGATTAGCTCAATTGACTAATGCACAGGGATTAGTCCATTCATAACGATTTCTAGGGAATTAGTCACATCTAATGATCTAATTTTATAGAGGGAAAAAATCAGTAGAGGTATAATTAATAAACAGATTTGTCTTCCCTCCTTATTTTGATAATTATATATTGTGGCCCTGCCTTAGCTGGGCTCCAGGATCATAATCTAAATCCACACTATACACTAGGAATTATGATTGAATTATGATTGATCAATATGACTATAATTGCCTCCCTATTCTGGAGAAAACAGTTTCAAGATTTTCCCACTTATGCATGCTTTATGTCATATTTAAAGGGGCTGAGACACAGATTTGAAGCTCATATTTTGTAAATTTTTCTAAATAATATCATGACTTTTATGCTGTTAGAGCATTTCACACCGAAATATATTAAAAGAGTGTAAAGGAAATTCTTTTATCTGGAAACTATTAAAACTACGATTTTCAGGATGCATTTGATTGACACATATACTTGCACTTTCACAAAGTAAACTTTATCCATAATACTTAAGAAAAGAAGAAATTTTGTTGTGGATTAATGAAAATATGAAAACTATAATCCAGAAACTTCAGAGTAGAAATGCTAGAAAGCAAAACCAACTCACCAGTATTGTCAGTCCATGCTTAGTGATTTGTGCAGACTACTAAACAAACTGAACACACCCCGTATAACATAAAGACTAACAATAACACAGCTCATGCCCTGTTTACAAACACAGGTGTTTGACATGATGTTATAAAGAATGTCGTTGTCATTGAATTCTAAGAATATTCATGTAAGTTCAAATCATTAAACTGAAGTTACTTTTGAATAAAAAAAGACATTCAAAATTGTAAACAATGCAACTGTGTCCATGCCCCTTTAATCCCCAGTTTAAGCCTCACCCTTTTTTGGGAAAAACAAACTAAAGGCTGTTCTGTTCCATTAGTCTGGGATATCGAGTTACTGAATGCAGGTAGAATAAAATGAAAAATTCTTGGGAGAAAAGAGCAAGGGCCACTTTGGGCCTTTTTATGCCCTGAGAATTTCTGAAAAATTAAAACTGCATTGTTTTTGTTGACAAGGCAATAAAATATCACTTGAACTCTTGGAAACTGAATATCTACTAAAAATGAAATTTTCTTGCTAGTTAATGCATTATGACATCAGAAATTGTGTCATTATTTACATATCCTGAATATTTCTTCAAAAATGGCTAAAAGATGATGCTATGTTTCAATATTTTGTATACAGCATAACCTCTGATCCAATATGTGCAAATATACAATGAAAGAACTGCTTATGAAGATTATAAAACATATTTTAATTTTTGGATGGAGGGTGTGCTCATATCTTAATTCTTTGCTGAAGGTTCTCAAATACACCTGTTTTCTGCAAAATTCAAGAACATTGCAATTTCACACAATCCGTTTAACAATACCTGGGCTATTTACAGAAAACTTTGTTATATAAACTGAAAGCACCAAGTCTCTACTTTATATGGATGTTGAAAATGGGACACTGGGTTTTAGTCACTTAATTGGTATATCTACAGGGCCATTTTATGCATAAAGTGAACCTTTATATCTAACAGTTGTACATAGTCACCCGCATGGTGCAGTGGTTAGAGCGTCTGTTCTAGAATCGCGGGGTAAGGAGTTGATTCTTACGTCACGGGTTCAAATCCCACTGAGGGACATGGAGGCCATATAAACCAAGGTCCCGTGTTACAGTAGGTACTGGCACGATAAAGATCCCTCACTGCTCAATGGCCCTGAGTGCCGAGAATGAGTCAAAATTTATAGCCCTCCACTGGCAAGTGGTGGCGTCTCCATTTGAGTGAAAAATTCTCAAGAGGGGCTTTAAACAACATTCAATCAATCAGTCAATCAACAGTTGTACACATGACAGAAAGTCGCTAAATGTTGGTAGTCCCTATGACAGGTTTGACTGTTATCTCCTTGGATAAAGACATACCCGTGGCCCTCTATTTGAAAGCTTGAAATCATGTTTTATCAGTTTAACCAGAGGATATTCTGTGCCAAGTTTGCTTGACATGGAATAATTCTGGAGAAGAAGATAAAATGTGAAATGTTAATGTTAACTACAATAATGGCAGATAATGGAAAAATTTTGATCAGAAAGTTCACTTGAGCCTTCATTTGGCTCAGGTGAGCTAAAAAGTGAAATATCATAAATCTCTTTAATCCATGGAAACACTCCGCAAAATTAAAAAAAAATTAAGTTTAAAATTAAAAATATCAATTTTATACTTTACATTTTATAAATGATCACCATAATTGTAAATGATAAATATAATTTAACCTTTTGACCCCCCTGAATCTCTCACTGGGATGTCTTCATCTTCCTCATCATCCTCCCCTTCCTTCTCTTCCCCTTCCTCTTCCTCCTTAGTTTTAAATCCCGCCTCCAGTTTTTCATCACTGCTGATTTCTACTTCATCCAGTTGCTTCAGTTTTGGTAAGTCTTGAATGATTCGTCCTCTGATGAAACAAATGTTCAAAAGTTCTTTTTTTAAACAGTGTACTAGATGAGTAATGTGTACACATATGCTTAAAAAAAGATTTTCAAAAGCTTTTCGATTCTCTATGTTAAATCTACATTATATTAGGAAGTTTTCATAAGAGCTTCATCTTTTCTGACGCAGTGGTTACTGAGACAATTTTTAACGACCCAATATAATTTTTGCTTTTTCTTTGGAAATGTGCAAGTCCTTCATTTTAAAAGTTAATTCCCTTTACTCAAGAATACTCTGTGCCAAATTTGGTTGAAACTGGCCCGGTGGTTCTAGAGAGGAAGATGAAAATATATGTGTGAAAAGTTTAAAACAGCAACACCAATGTAAAAAAAAAGATGTTGACACACAGTGGGCTGAAGGACAAATTTCAGTCAGAAAGCTTAGCCATATTAAAGCCTTAAGCTCGGAAAGCTTATCAGTATTAAAGCCTTTGATTCAGAGAGCTTACCTGTATTAAAGCCTTTGGCTCAGAAAGCTTACCAGCCTGTATTGAAGCCTTTGGCTCAGAGAGCTTACCTGTATTAAAGTCTTTGGCTCAGAAAGCTTATGTATTAAAGCCTTTGGCTCAGAGAGCTTACCTGTATTAAAGCCTTTGGCTCAGAAAGCTTACCAGCCTGTATTAAAGCCTTTGGCTCAGAGAGCTTACCTGTATTAAAGCCTTTGGCTCAGAGAGCTTACCAGCCTGTATTAAAGCCTTTGGCTCAGAGAGCTTACCTGTATTAAAGCCTTTGGCTCAGAAAGCTTACCAGCCTGTATTAAAGCCCTTGGCTCAGAGAGCTTACCTGTATTAAAGCCTTTGGCTCAGAAAGCTTATGTATTAAAGCCTTTGACTCAGAAAGCTTACCCATATTAAAGCCTTTGACTCAGAGAGCTTACCTGTATTAAAGCCTTTGGCTCAGAAAGCTTACCAGTCTGTATTAAAGCCTTTAGCTCAGAAAGCTTACCCGTATTAAAGCCTTTGGCTCAGAGAGCTTACCTGTATTAAAGCCTTTGGCTCAGAAAGCTTACCAGCCTGTATTAAAGCCCTTGGCTCAGAAAGCTTACCCATATTAAAGCCTTTGGCTTGGAAAGCTTACCCGTATTAAAGCCTTTGGCTTAGAAAGCTTATCCATATTAAAGCCTTTGGCCCAGGTTAGGTAACAGGTTAGGTGAAAGTTTCCCAATGGCTCTTAAGAAAATATTTTAGCAACCACTCTTTTTTTTGCAAATTGCCTCCCCTTGCTTAAAGGCCCCATTTTGAAAAAAAAAATAACCTTGAAAACCCTTGGTCCAAGAATACACTGTACGTGACAAAATTAATAAAAAAAAATGGCCATAGGGTAATTATGATATGGCTCATATTCCAAACACAACAAAACTGGTCATTGTATTAGATCACTTAGCCAATAATATATAACTAATGTGTAATATATGTATGTACTGTTTTACCTGTGGTCTCAGTGTAATATGTAATACATGTATGTATTGTTTGACCTGTGGTCTGGGTGTAATATGTTATACATGTATGTACTGTTTGACCTATGGTCTGGGTGTAATATGTAATACATGTATGTACTGTTTGACCTGTGGTCTGGGTGTAATATGTAATACATGTATGTATAGTTTGACTTGTGGTCTGGGTGTAACATGTAATACATGTATGTATTGTTTTACCTGAGGTCTGGGTGTAATATGTAATACATGTATGTATTGTTTGACCTGTGGTCTGGGTGTAATATGTAATACATGTGTGTATTGTTTTACCTGTGGTCTGGGTGTAATATGTAATACATGTGTGTATTGTTTTACCTGTGGTCTGGGTGTAATATGTAATACATGTATGTGTTGTTTTACCTGTGGTCTGGGTGTCATATGTAATACATGTATGTATTGTTTGACCTGTGGTCTGGGTGTCATATGTAATACATGTATGTATTGTGTGACCTGTGGTCTGGGTGTCATATGTAATACATGTATGTATTGTTTGACCTGTGGTCTGGGTGTAATATGTAATACATGTAATTATGTATTGTTTTACCTGTGGTCTGGGTGTAATACATGTATGTATTGTTTTACCTGTGGTCTGGCTGTAATCTGTAATACATGTATGTATTGTTTTACCTGTGGTCTGGGTGGGTTACGCAGGGATTCCCTTTTAAATTCAGAATGATTAAACTTTGTGGAAACTCATCTGAAAGAAAGAAAACCATGCTGGTTGAAGTATTTTTTTAAGATAAAAAATATCAATACTACTCATTTTATTAGTCCCCTACCGGTGAAACCGGAGGGGACTATAGGTTTCCCCTGAGTCTGTCCGTCCGTATGTCCGTCCGTCTGTCTGTCTGTCTCTCTGTCTGTCCCTCTGTCTGTCTGTCAGTCTGTCCCACTTGGTTTTCCGCACTTTTTTACTAAACGCTTGCAGATATTGAGCTGATTTTTGGTATGTGAGTGTATCTTGATGAGTTACAGATCAAGTTTGCATTTCGTTCCGCTTCATTGATTTTTGACGGGATTATGGCCTTTTCAATTTTTACAGGTTTTCCGCAATTTTCTTCTAAACGCTTGTAGATATTGAGCTGATTTTTGGTATGTGGCTTTACCTTCATTAGTTATAGAACAAGTTTGCATTTCGTCCCGCTTCATTAATTTTTGACGGAATTATGGCATTTTCAATTCTTAACGGGAACAAGATTACACTTGCCGGTAGGGGACTAGTATTGCTAATGCAATACTCTCAGAATGCTTGTTCATTTCTGTGTCTTTCTCAACATATACACTGTCTTTTTACTGTATCCCAGCTTTTATTTGTGACAACTTTTATTTGTGATTTGTCAGGTTGAAACCTATCCATGTTGACTAATTTTCATGACTGATGAATTATACAATGAAATAAATAGTTCGCTGCGAGATATATATGCTATAAGGAGAAGATCATTAAATTCGAGGAAATTTTTCACACTTAATTTGATTCAGAAGAAAAATTTATTATAAACTGATAAGATTGAACTGTTTTTATCCACACTATAACATCTAAAACAATATTTGGTTCAATTTTTACCTAATATATCAATAATGTGTTCAATTCAATAGACCGATTCAGTTAAGTTTTACATATAACAAATTGACAATGATAATTACCTATACTATTAATGGAACTTACACATGGAGATAAACATTAACAATAAAGGTGTGATGTTGTTTTTTTTATGTAAATATCTTCCACATACCAATGCCCTTGTTTATATTTTTTATTCAGTGTTAACATTATCCTATTACATGTTTACTGGAAAGAAACCAACACCTATTTTTTTTCCTAATAATTAGTCAAGCATTGTTAATATGGATGCTAATTGTCTGGATTAATGAAGGACCCGGATTATTGTAACATTCTTTTCATAAATGGTAGATAAAAATTTGAAATCTAGCTATTCCCTATAGATTTCATCTGGATATCCAGAAATATCCAGGTTTAGCATCAATTCCTTAATCAGGTTAAAACACATATTGAGAATAGTTACAATTGCATATGGTGAAAGTCCTTTATCAGATTCAAGGACATAGTGAGAATAACTGTTACATTATACAGTTATTGACTGGGTATGAGGGCAACATATGATTTGTTGGACCTGAAGGTGAAAATGTTGCCCAAGGCAGTAGGTCAAGGGCAACATTTTCACCTTCAGGTCCAACAAAGCATATGTTGCCCGAATCCCTGTCTATAACTGTTTTGCTATACCCTTCACTTCAGATAGAACAATGAAATGAAAACATTTAAACAGATTTAATCAATGTATAATTAATTACTTTCTCTGTAAAATTTTGGCTTGATCAATAAAAATAAAACAATAGAAGAGAATGAAAAAATAAAAAATCAAATAATTTTATCACAAAAATTATTTATCACAAAACATACTCTTTCATATAATATATAGCAAATGACAACTCTTGCAGCTCTAAACTTCGGCTATTTCTGTGTCGCCGATATTGAACGACAATTAATTACTTGTGATGTAGCAATGACGTTGCGGTCTAACAATTCTTATGTTGGACTGGCTGGCCAGTCAACAATAAAATTTTTAGACCGATGCAATAAACATTTCTTTTGTTGGACTTTTTATTAGTAATTAATATATAGAAAGATATTTATAAGGGTATAACAATTAGCTATGATGTCAGTGTTCTTGGTTGGGTTAAAAAAAACAAGACCTTTTATCATATGTCAAACTCCATGATCAGGTTAAAGGACATAGCAAGGCCTGTTATCATATAGGGGTGTAACAATATACTGGTATACCGGTACATTGTGATACATTTAGATTTAAGTCAGTGACTGGTACAGCAATCTGGAATACCATTTTTTCAATACGGTTTGAAATTTAGAATTCACATGATTTAATTGCTTTACAAAGTGTTTTTTTTGAGAAATATAGTTCTGTATAGTTTATTTTCATTAAGAATGTGCTTGTAGATTGAAGTTAAATACATATTAAAAAAAATTACGCATGTAAATGTAAAGAATATACTGAGAATAATTATTACCTAAGTCAAAGTGTTTGACCAGATAAAAGTACATATTACCTATGTCAAAGGCTTTGACCTGATTAAAGGACACATTACCTATGTCAAAGTCCTTGACCTGATTAAAGGACATATTACCTATGTCAAAGTCCTTGACCTGATTAAAGGACAAGTCCAGGAAGTACAACTTCTCTAAGTGCCTCAAATTCTCCACACATTTGATCTGGTTACCAGACAGAGTCAAAAACTGCAGGTTTTTCAGACATTCCAGATTCTCAATTCGTCTTATTTGATTCTGTAAATAAAAGAAATAAAACAATAGCATGTTACAATCCTCAAATGAGCTTTTCTTATCAAAGTTGGTCAATAGTGTTTGTTACTAGGTGTCTGATCTGACCAATTGCAACCACACATGGCACAAAGCATTCTTTTGTAACACAAATTTAGATAAATGAGAGGCTACATGTTTGTTCCATTTAAGGGTGAAAGAACAACAAAAAGATGCCACTATATGCAGACCTCTTTGAGAACAGCAAGGTTATGATTTTATAAAATTCATATTAAGGAACAGTAAACTGCTGAATAAATTCAAACCACTACTTTACGTCAACAAAGGACTCCAATTATGGACTTCCTTTATCAACATATATTCATTTCACAGCAAATAAATTGTAACTCAAGTAGGCTTGCAACCAGTGAGTCTCATGCTATTTTTATAGATACATGTATTTATACTACTACTGAAGTCCTACATGTTGTAAGTTAATATTGGTGACTTTATCATTCAGTAGCTCTAAACCATCCATATCTAAACAGGGCTTTCACACCAGTTTTTGGGACTGGGGCCGGGGCCGTGGAAATTGGGAAAATTAGCGACCTTTTGAGGAAATGTGGGAAAATCATAACTAGACAATATCCATTAAATTCATTATATATTGAGTTTCTGGTGGTTGTTATCAACTAAATTTCTGTTTTGTAATATAGAGAAATGTGAATAAGAAGTTTAGGAACTACATATTTTACTACATGTTCTTTAATATTTGGGGAAGTGACCAATTGGGAAAATTAAAACATTAAATTGGGAAAAAAGGTTCCTTTTTTGAATTGGGAATGGGGCCTTTAAACGGCCCCAATTATAGAGAATCGAGAGCCCTGCTAAAATGGGACTCAGGTGAGCATTGGGGCCCATGAGCCTCGTACTGATGATGTTCATGTCTTACATGTTGAAAGTAGATATTGGTGACTTTATCACTCAGTAACTCTAATCCATCAATGTCTGAAATGTTCTCTCTGTCAAGTCGCAGGTGAGTGATTTTCTGCAGAGCTTCCAGACTGAATTAAAAAAAGTTATAAATATTAAATTAATGGTCTCAATTATCAATTAAAAGAAATCAGTTTTATTTTACATCTATTAGTATGTTAATCAGGAGATCTTTGTACAGTTTGCTACTCTCTTTATCTTCATTATTTATCAGTCAGTCCATGTAATACTAATTAATACTTACATCTTTTCATGACTCCAGTCTTTTGCATCTGGAGGAAGATGTCTTTTTACAATCAAATGGAGAGATAATCTCACAGGTTTGACCAAATCTGAAAATTTTCATGTCAAAATCTAAAACAAAACAGCTGCCTCAGTCTCCTGATAATTAAAAAGGCTTAGAGATAGAAAACACAACCTATTGGAAATCTAAGTGCATGTTACGTAAAATGTTTCTAGAGTGCTTTAAGCCTTCATTTTACTAGTCAAAACATATGGATAAAAATCAAGAGAAATCCATGCTACACTCCACTCCGTAGTACAGTTAAGGTGCCAAATGGAAATATCAGCAAATTTTTTAGATAAAAAATACACACTTTACAAGGATGGGCAATTCTTTTTAGGACTTTACCGATATCAGACATATGTAATGTGGTTCAAAACTGCATGTTGAGGAGGATTAAATTTTTTATTTAGACTTGAAACCTGATGTGGTAGTCACCTTATTTTAACACATATACTTGCAGTGTTGAGGTGATTTATAAATTAATTCCAATATTGCAAGGGCATAACCAAGTTAAAAATCTAAGTTTAATTTATAATCATTTTCAAAACTCTTTGTACTTTGTGAAAAGTGCTGCGAACCTATATAGATTCCACTATCTAATTGATAAAATTATGTTTGTTACACTGCATGTTGAATATTTTGCTGGACAACTACATTAAAATAAATATAGAAATAATTAATTTATTTGCAAGTTCACAGCACTTTTCAAATATTTTAATACTTTTTGAGTTTGTGTGTAAAAACTTATCATGATCCATTGAGGGTATGCCCTTGCAACATATCGATATATTAGGACCCTTCTATTACCCTTCCATGAATCTGCATACAAATATACAGCAGTATCACTTGTCTAGGGAATGTACGGAAAGTATATGAATAAGATCGTAAAATAGACATCGCATCCAAGTTAATGGCCTCTTAAATATCTGCAAATAATATTTTATTTCATTACAAAAGACATTTTTCACTTTATAAAATACATGTATAACTTGATCTGCCTCCCACTGCATGCAAACTGTGTCAAATTTTACGATATAACATCACACAGACAAGTGCATTGCGATCAATGAATTGTTTACATATCTTGCTGTGTGGGATTTAACAAATGACAAAATTGCATTTAATAGTAAGTGTTGATGCAGCTTATAGCTACCCAACAGTTTAAAATAGCAAATCATTTCATTTTGTGGTAATTTGAATAGGTTTAATTTTTGTGTGATGTCATAGTAAACATTTCCCGTATAAATTATGCCTCGCGTCCTTTTTGTAGCCTTAACTGGCTCACTGGTTATTGTGTGTACGTTGCCTTATGGATAAAACTGCCGACTCCTGTGCTCACACACACATAACATACAACAGCTGCACAAGTAGACAGGTAGACGTAAGGATTCGAGCTCCTAAATGGTTCTACTCAATGTACATCATTTATCAACACAAATTCATTGTGAATAATTATGGAAAAAAGAAAATACCAAACGAAAACAAGTCAGCACATTTTCCTAAGTCTTCTTTCTCTATTTCTTCTGATTCGTTCATGATTTTCGTTTGTTTACATCGGCAACAGCTGTCAATTTACTACTTATTACAGGTAATAAAGTACAACATGTCTTTAAGCGCTTTTCTGACCAATTAAATTCTACAAGAACCCGAACGTATTATACTTTTTCCGGATTGAGACCCTACAACGTGAGAAAAATATCAGCCCCCAATAAATAAATAAATAAATAAATAAATAGAAATAAAATAAATAAGTAAATAAATTAGACAAATAAATAATAATAAGAAAAAAATATATAAATGAAAAAACCCAAACAAAACCAAAAAAAAAAAAAAAAAAAAGAAAAAAACCAACCTATAACCCACAACAACAACAGCAACCAACAAACAAAAATGAAATTAAAAAAAAAAGAAAATACAAAGCAAAAAATAAAAAAAAACAAAAACAAAAACAAAAAAACAAAAACAAAAAAAAAAAAAACAAAAAAAAAAACAAAAAACAAAAAACAAAAAACAAAAAAAACAAACAAAACAAAAAAACCCATAAATATGCAATGTTCATTCATCAATACTAAAATTCATTCTGCCCTCCATAAATAGTCTTGTCGTACAAAGAAATTTCATTATATGTAGAAAAAATGACTCTTAAAAGAGTAGCAGATCTAGAGTGAGGGGGGGGGGGGCTTAAGGGGGTTGCATCTCCTTTAGTTTTGGCTAAATAAAAAATAGGAAAGAAATAACAGAGAAAGTGACAGATACGTATACATATTAATGAATTCTGAAATGTATCCCACCTTGTCCAGCATTTATCAAAACATCAAGTCGGTGTATTTCGAACGTAAGTCTATAAGGATCAATCTATAGAATAAAAAAAATTACATGTAAAGCTACTAAAGGCGAAATATTGCCTTTTCAAAAGGCGTAATAATTCGAGAAAAAAGCGTTATAACGCCAATGAACAGGCGAAGTGAAATGACGTTATTACGCCTTTCGAAAAGGCGCTAAATTATGCCTTTTGGCAGACCCGTTGCAAGGTTTTAAAAATTGGGGGAGGGAAACTTCCTAAAATTTGATGTTTTAATAATTAACCAACTTAGCTCTTCTGTGATGCCAGACACCTTGGCCAAGGGTCAGGGATTTCACAAGTTTAATTGAAGGCTATTAATTCTGGATTTCTCTTAATACCCTTGTAAATATATATGTCTGCTAGATGTGCAAAAGTATAGAAAAAATAATCACTACATGAGTTAAGGTGGCTTCGACCCACTCATCATATAACCATTATTATATATCACATAACAACGCCTTTTCACTTCATGGCCGAAGGAACCGGGGGGGGGGGGGGGGGCACTGGGGGCCGTGCCCCCCCCCCCAATAATTTTGCCGATATAGAATACTGTAGAAAAATAGCTATTATATGACTGTGCCTCCTCAATAATAACGTCTGGTGACCTTTTTTTTTCTTGTCAAGGAATTTTGGTACTTGATAGTGCCCCCCCCCCTCCAACTGAAAATATATGATTGTGCCCCCTCAAAGTAAAACTGCTTCCTACGGGCCTGCAATTTGCATTGTAAAGCCTTTCAAATTTTGGCCCGTAGTACGAAGGTGGGTATGTTTTTGGAGGCTGCTTTGCCCCCACAAATTTTAGTGCAGAATGGTTGAACTCTGGAAAATTCCTGCATTAAAAAAAATTTCATCAAACTAAGAGAAAGATTCTCCCCTCCCCCTCCCCACCCCACCCCCAAACAACGAAATAGGAATTTCGAGATTGGGCAGTATATTAACTTTTTTATTTATGAATTAATTGATTAATTTTTTTTGCTTATAAAATATTTGGGAAGCTGCATCCTTTGCTCCCGGGCATAGAGCAAAATTAAAAAAACGATTGAGTTTAAAAATTCAATTCCAGTGTTTAAATATTGCAGTGAATAAATAAAATTTGTTTACCTCTCATTTTCCATTAAAGCACTACGATATTATTCCGATGTAATTTTAAAAACAGATTTTTAGCCAATCAGAATCTCTGCCCGGGATTAGCACATACCATTTCATGGTTGAGTTCGACTTTTCCACTCGGCGAGCAGAGTTTTGACGCTGTTTACGGGGATAAAAGAAAATAAAGACACGCATGCCATATATGGTTGTGTAGATAAATTATCGTAGAAGACATAGGCATAAACAGTTTGCTAGTGCATGTCCTCTGAAATTGTAAATGAGTGCGATTCTGAGGGAGGGGGGTACTCCGTGCAATACGGAGTTGGATACCTTGTGTTATTATTATACTATGGGTCAAAAATTTATTACAGAAACAAGTGCCTGTGTTATTATTATACTATGGGTCAAAAATTTATTACAGAAACAAGTGCCTGTGGATAAAGGGTGAAATAAAGGGTGCTGATACAGGGTGTGTAATACAGGGCGCGTGCCTGTGTTCATATTAGGGATGCAAAAAACCTGTATTATATAACAAATATATAATAAAACGTCTTACTCTTCGCTTTATTATGTCTTTTCAAAAGGCCTACCTACAATCTGATATAAATCAGATCTTTGTTACGCTCCGAAATTCTGATAGTTGTTGTACAGCGACTATCAGAATTTCGGAGCGTAACGAGGATATGATTTAAATGAGATTGGAGTAACCACGCCTTTCATTTTTTTTCTTCCATAGATAGATCCTTTTAGGCTTTCGTAATTTCGAGTACACACGGAATATATAAAAATTAAGTACAATTTCTTCTTATGAGTTCGGCTTAGATAATATATAAAACGTCAATTTCTATTTGATTATGATAAACCGAATTGAAAGAAAAGCAATTTCGTGAAAAAGATTTCATAAAGTGTAACAGGCCTATAATGCCAAACCCCGGAAGCTCCCGCTGGGGCTTCACCCCCTTCCCCCCTTGGCCTCACCAAGGTTTTGCCCTGGACTAAAGTGTAACCCCAGCCTTCCATCGAAGTTGTATCTTAAACATTCTACTTTGGTTGGCTATGCTACTGAGAATGTACTTCATCGTTATACTCGGTATTTTGACGGAACATTTTGATGAATTAGAGTTGAAAAATGATGATTTTAAACTTGTGTTTTTCCCCAATATATCAAATAACTGTTTTTAAATACTTTGATAAAATATTATCAAAGCATACATTATGCCAAACACCCCCCCCCCCTTTAAAACAACAAAGCAAAACCAAACTTCTTGCAATTGTTCAGCGCCTGTTATAAACAAATTCATTTCGCAATAAAATACCTATAACTCCCATTTTGAATGTTTTTAAAGATTGAATCGAATTGAGTAGAACCTTCTTCTCACCTCTTTTTTCCCCCGAAAGTTTCTTTTGCTGTTAATTTAATATGTATTAAAGCCCATAGAGCTCATTTTCGTAGGTTAAAAAATATTCTTCGCGTTATTCACGAAAGTTATGCGTTATAACGCAAATAAAAAATGTTTTGCCTACGAAAATGAGCTTAATGGGCTTTCGTAAATATGGACATTTTCATTATTGACAGAAGAGTTGGTAACAACCCCCCCCCCCCCCCCAACACCACCATCACCACCCACCCCACCACCACCCCACTGTTTGTTGCAGGTAGGTCAAATCCTTTTACAGTATTGTAGGCTAGTACTACCTGAAAGTTCCATGTCGCAAAGAGAAAATTGTCAGAAGCATAATCAAAGATATCCGTCTCACCAAACTGAAAGAGATAGCAGTGTGTCATGCTGAAAATATGAATAGTGATATAAATATTTTCAAAACAAATATATGTATTGATTTTGAGCTTTACTAAATCCCACAATTTCTGCAATTTCTGTACATCCATGGGCTGTAAATAACATATAGCATCTTCACATTGGTACTGAAGGCGTGTTTGAGGGAGATTTGATTTCTTTCCAAGTTTAATATAAGGACATTTTCTGAGATGTATTGGGTTAAACAATCATATTCAGAAGTATATTTTTTATGCCCCTGTATCGAAGATTCGGGGGTATATAGTTTTTGCCCTGTACGTCCGTCCGTCTGTCTGTCTGTCTGTCTAGCTGTCTGTTTGTCCGCAAAAACTTTAACATTGCCCATAACTTTTGATTGGTTGGAACTATGGCTTTCATATTTCTCATATGTATTTTTTGTGACAAGACCTTTCTTTGGGTACCATCATATTTGACCTTGGAGTTTGACCCAGTTTTGCAAAATTTTACCGAACTTTTACCCTGGCCATAACTTTTGAACAATTGGTGCTAGGGCTTTCATATTTCACATGTGTAATCCTTGTGACAAGTCCAACAATTTTGACCCATTGACCTTGACCTTAGAGTTTGACCTACTTTTGAAAAACTTAAACCTTGGCCATAACTTTTGAACGGTTAGTGCTAGGGCTTTCGTACTTCACATATATAATCCTTTTGACAAGACCTTCCTTTTGATACCAACAATTGTAATCTATTGACCTTGGAGTTTGACCTACTTTTGAAAAACTTTAACCTTGGCCATAACTTTTGAACGGTTGGTGCTAAGGCTTTCATAATTCACATACGTAATTCTTGTGACAAGACCTTATTTAGATACCAACAATTGTAATCCATTGACCTTGACCTTGGAGTTTGACTTACTTTTGAAAAACTTTAACCTTGGCCATAACTTTTGACTGTTTGGTGCTACGGCTTTCATATTTCACATGTGTATTTCTTGTGAGAAGGCCTTACCTTGGGCACCATTAATTTTGACCATTTGACCTTGACCTAGGAGTTTGACCTTCTTTTGAAAAACTTTAACCTTTTGCATATCTATTCAATGGTTGCTGCTAGTGCTTTCATATTTCACAGGTATATTTCTCGAGACAAGACTTTACTTTGGGTACCAACATATTTGATTTGCATTTGAGAAAGTTTAACCTTTGCTATAAGTTGCCATACTGGAGCATCAGTGTTTCAACAAACACAGCTTATTAATAAATATTGTTACACAAAAAGAATTTCATTTCATATTATAATTTAGCCATAATTAATATAGGACATAATTCATGAAAGATCAAAATATGAAAATACAGTAGACACGGTTATAATAAACATGC